CGCTGGCCCGGCCCTGGGCCTCGTCGTGTGTCGGTCTGTGATACCACTCCTACCTAGTCAAGGCAGAAACGTCCCGGGCATCAAAATCATCGCCTTCGCCCATCAGCCATCCGCCATCGATCGCATCGCAACGTGTCATAAAAGCATCACAGATAGCGCAACGCCCGTCCCGTTGATCTCAACAGCTGCCTTTCAGCTAGCCTCAGCCCTTCAGCAGAGAAAAAAGCACAACCTACGACGCCCTGGGAGACAAGCTCCGGCCCATTACGTAGGGTCCCGCCACACCAAGCCGGAACCCTGCTCCTGTTCCCAAGTTCCCTGTACACTTTTCCGCCTCTAGCTCCAGCCGCCCACGACTCCCCTTCCTTTCGAGGACTACTCATTCCTCCACGCCCGCTCGAGCTTCCCCTCAGTGGAGGCAGCCTAGCCTAAGCCTAAGCCTATTTCCCCGTTTCCCAAAGCCTGAGGTGCCATTTTCACTGCCCCTCCATCATCTACTTACATCCGGCCCGGGCGTCCACCTGGAATTTTTGAGACGAGACGAGCACCATCAAAGCGAAAAAGCACTCTTATACAACCGTCCACCTCACGCACGACCACGCACCCAAAACGACCATATCCAATCCCCATCGAATCATATCCTTCGTGACCCTTACCTGCGCTATCCTCCAGAGAGCTTCTGCGCTCGCCGGCGCGATCCTCGCACCTCGACGGAAATCCTATTGCGCTGTCACTACAACAGATGCTGCGCCTTGGACAGCTTGAACCGATTGTCAACACAAGCGTCAGCCTTCATAGTCAGCAGCCAACTTGGGCACCTTGCCAACGTTCTGAAACGACCTTGGGCCAACTGCCAATCTCATCAACTTGTCAATAAAGCAACGCCTTCCTCACATTCAACCCCATGTTTCCGTAGCAATCCAACCGATCGCTGTCAACATCACCATCATCCGGCATCTTGATCCGCCTCGAGTCAGACCAGACCCCCGTCTCCTGCCCTTCCAACAGACATAAATAGCACAGCGACCGTAGGGTCCATCTGTCAGCCACCATGACTGTCTTTGTCGCTACGCTGTAAGCTCGTCCCGAATCCCTGAATATCCCCAACCGCAGGGCAGGCCCAGTCCGTCAAGACAGCTCATGCTGACATTGCCAGCTTTCTGCCCAAGACAGTTCACTTTAACCTTCCTGGCAAGCCCGGCACCGCTACGCCGGCCCCCGAGCGCTCAGAACGAACGAAGAAGCCGGGCCCCTCCACCCTCACCGGCGCCGACAAACCCAGTCTCTTTACACCTCTTCCCGAAGTGACACCCCCTGATACCCCAACCGAAGAACACGGATCGCAAGACCTGTTTGCCAACGAAGATGGCTTCCGCATTCCTCTCTCCGACGATGGCAATGAGAGCGTAGACGCCGGTATGCCCGCCGACAAGGGCTCCCCCCGATGGGGTGGCAGTGCCAACCAGCCAATGTCCCGAGCGAGCTCTCCGCCGCCAGCGCTGATTGCTGAGCACAGTCGGACCCTGGAGAAGGCGCGTGAGCTCGGCCGCCAGGGCGTCATTCAGCCCCGTGCTATTGCTCGCAGTGACAGTCATGATCGAGTCTTTGCGCACGCCAATTGGAAGATTGTCAACGCCGATCAAGGTAATGGTGGTCTGCGCAATGCTGCCGACGCCGCCGCTCGTGACGGTAAATTGGGTGACTACACTTGGGTCGGGACTCTCGGCATGCCTACCGACGCACTCGAAGGAACACAGCAGAAGCAAGACATCGAAGACCACCTAGCGACCGATCACGACATGCTGACAGTCTTTGCTTCCGACAAGGACTTTGATGGCCACTACTCACATTTCTGCAAACAAATCCTGTGGCCAGTCTTTCACTACCAGATCCCAGACAACCCCAAGAGCAAGGCTTTCGAGGATCACTCTTGGAAATACTACGTCAATGTCAACCAGGCGTTTGCGGACAAGATCGTTGCCAATTGGAAGCGCGGCGATGTCATTTGGGTGCACGACTACCACTTGCTGCTCGTGCCCGGCATGGTTCGCCAGAAGCTACCCGAGGCCAAGATTGGCTTTTTCCTGCACGTTGCATTCCCTTCCTCCGAGGTTTTCCGATGCCTCGCCGTACGCAAGCAGCTTTTGGAAGGCATGCTGGGTGCAAACCTCGTCGGCTTTCAGATTCATGAGTATGCTCGTCACTTCCAGCAGACATGCAGCCGCCTTTTGGGCGCCGAGGCCACGCCCGACGGCCTTCAGCTCGAGGATCGTTTTGTCGATGTCGTGAACTTGCCAATTGGAATTGACCCCGTCTACATTCGGGAGCGCCGCGCCAACAACAGCGTGAAGAAGTGGATCGAGACCATCAGAGAAAGGTACAAGGGCAAGTGGCTCATCGTCGCCCGCGACAAGCTTGACCACGTTCGAGGTGTGCGCCAGAAGCTGCTCTCGTATGAGCTGTTCCTCAACAAGAACCCACAGTGGCGTAACCAAACGGTCCTCATCCAAGTGGCCATGTCGAGCAGCGAGAAGAGCGACCTTGACGCCGCCGTCAGTGACATTGTCACCCGTGTCAACTCGTCGTGGGCCAATCTGGCATATCAGCCGGTCGTGTACCTCAAGCAGGACATTGACTTCCCGCAGTACCTCGCACTCCTTACGTGCGCCGACGCGCTCATGATCACGAGCCAGCGCGAGGGCATGAACCTGACATCTCACGAATATCTCTTCTGCCAGGATGGCGAGGTTCTGCCGGACAAGAAGCACGGCTCTTTGATCCTGTCCGAGTTCACAGGCACATCATCCCTCTTCGGCGGCCACGAGCTCGCCGTCAACCCCTGGGACTACCGCGCATGCGCCGATGCCATCAAGCAGGCGCTCGAGATGAGCGATGAGGAGAAGGAGCGTCGCTGGACCAAGCTCTACGAGGCCGTCATGCATCACACGGGTTCGCACTGGTTCTCCGAGTTCCTTTCGCGCCTTGACCTTGTGCACGAGGAGCAGCACAAGCGCGATCAGACGGCGGTGCCGCGCCTCTCGATCGGCACGCTCACGCAACGGTACAAGCGCAGTGAGCGACGTCTCTTTATCCTCGACTACGAGGGCACACTCGTCAGCTGGGGTCCGATGAACCAGATCATCCCTGTCAGCCCGCAGCGCACGGTCGATGTGCTCAATGACCTGCTGCTTGACGATCGCAACACGATCTACGTCATGTCGGGGCGGCGACCCGAGGAGCTCGACCGCACTTTCCGGCGCGTGCCGAACCTGGGCCTCATCGCGGAGAATGGGTGTTTCCTCAAGGATTGCGGTAAGAGCACGTGGCAGGTGATGGCCGACGCCGAGCAGATTCGCAGCTGGAAGGCGTCAGTCAAGTCCATCATGACGTACTACCTCGAGCGAACGCCGGGCGCCGTGATTGAGGAGCGTCGCTGCAGCCTCGTGTTCCACTACAAGGGCGCCGAAGATTACGATTCTGCGGCGCGGCAGGCCAGCGACTGCGCCAGCCACGTCAACGACGCGTGCGAGGCGCAGCGCGTGCACGCCATCCCTCTCAACGGGTGCATCATTGTCGAACCGATCGACTGGACCAAGAGCACGGCGGCGGAGCGCATCTTTGAGGACCTCAAGGCGGGCATGGCGCCTGATGAGCAGCACAAGGGCCCCGTCGACTTTCTCATGGTCATGGGCGACGGGCGAGACGACGAAAAGGTGTTCAAGTGGGCCAACACGCTCGCCGACGAAGGCGTGGTCAAGGAGGTCACAACGGTGACGCTGGGCAAGCGCGGCAGCACCGAAGCGACGGCGACCCTGACGCAGGGTGTCAGTGGTGAGTGGACGTGGCACGGCGTTTCTCAGTGCTACATGCTAACGACGGACAGGTGTTCTCTCTGCCCTCGAGCGGCTTGCGTCTATTTAGAGAGGCAAACCAGAACGGTGTTTCTCCAAGACATGATGAATTAACGAAGACTGGGGAACGTTTAGGGGAAGGAGGGCTATTTTATTTGGATTTTGCTCGGCGTTGGGGGGGAGGGCGAAAAGGAATATCTCCATGCTGACACGCAGAGCTGAGTCTCGCCGATGACGATGAAGAGGGGAGGGAGCAACAGATGAAGCCAGGGCGGGGCAAGCGAGTTGCATTCCTCTGGCCCGCTATTGTCAATGTCCCGAATCAATACGCGCTGCAACGATATGATTGATGTGACGGGATGCATCAACGTTGATGTGAGAAAGGCCCTCGGAGGAAGGCCCTCGGAGGAAGGCATGCGAGACCATGAGATAAAGTGTAGAGTGTGTTGTGTCGGCGATCTCATCTCATTATACTTTGACCGCTCTCACGAGTACCATGTAGGTGTAGAGCTCGAGCGTGGGTTTTTGGAATTTGATTCAATACAGTTTGCTCGCTTCTGGGTGCTGCCGTAGTGACGATGAAAGGACCTGTGGAGGTTGATAGAGACTGGTGGGAGAAGGGATGACATCATGCGCGAGCACGCCCTCTGGGTCCCTGAAGGTTGAAGGTACGTATCGGGAGCTTGGGCCTGTAGCTGTTCGGCTCACTCCGAGCAGAGCACGCCGGTGGCCAGAGCGCTCCAACCAGGGCATGTTTCCCAGCGCGGTGGTGCCTTCCACCATCTGCCTCGTACCCCGCAGCCCGACATCGGCGCTGCCCCAGAACTTTTTCGATGGCACAGAGTGGAAGGGGGGGTCTCGAATGACTCGAATGACTCGGAAGCCGGAACCTCGCTGCCGTGAGACTCGACTCCCTTGGGCCAATTGACACCATTTCATAGTTGTTGGAATAACTTTCGTCAGATTGTACCCCTCTACGAACCGACTCTGCCGGCCTCCAACCTGTCCTCTTTGCCTCGACCACCCCGCCAAACCTGATCGTACCTACAGCTGCTGCCACGTCGGGAGAGCCTCAACCGTCTCCCATCACCAGATATCCAGACGCCGCCCTCAACCCCGCAGTCGGCCTCGCCAGAGCACTCTCTCAAGATGGCTGCCTTCCCTCCTCCTCCCACGAACACCATTGACTGGGCCAATGTCGGCTTCCAGGTCCGCGAAGGTACGCACTCTATGGCCATGGCTCCAGGCATTTGCTGCAGGCCTTGGCTCCATGACTTGGCGCCAGGCCTTCCGGTCCCATGAGCCCATGCCCCTACTCTGTGGTGTTCCTCTTCTGACAGCCGGCCCCTCCAGTCAACGGCCACATCGAGTCCACCTACAGCAAGTCGACCGGCCAGTGGACGCCGCTCAAGTTCGTGGCGTCGCCCTTTATGCGCATCCACGGCATGGCCCCGGCCCTCAACTACGGCCAGCAGGCCTACGAGGGCCTCAAGGCCTTCCGCGGCCCCGGCGACGACACGATCGCCCTCTTCCGCCCCGACCGCAACGCCCTGCGCCTCCAGCACTCGGCCGACGTCGCCTCGATGCCCCGCGTCCCCGAGCAGACCTTCCTCGACGCCTGCCGCGCCGCCGTCGCCCTCAACGCCGCCTTTGTGCCCCCGCACGCCACGGGCGCCGCCATGTACGTGCGCCCCCAGATCTACGGCTCGAGCGCCCAGCTCGGCCTCTCGCCGCCCGACGAGTACACCTTTGCCGTCTTCGTCATCCCGACGGGCGTCTACCACGGCGTCCACCCCGTCAAGGCCCTCATCCTCGACGAGTTTGACCGCGCCGCCCCCCACGGCACCGGCCACGCCAAGGTCGGCGGCAACTACGCCCCCGTGCTGCGCTGGAGCGACAAGGCCCGCGCCGAGGGCTACGGCATCACGCTGCACCTCGACTCGGCCCGCCACGAGGAGGTCGACGAGTTCAGCACGAGCGGCTTCATCGGCGCCAAGAAGGCCCCCGGCGCCGCCGGCGCCTACACCCTCGTCGTCCCCGACTCGCAGTGCGTCATCGACTCGGTCACGAGCGACAGCATCCAGCACATTGCGCGGTCCCTGGGCTGGGCCGTCGAGAAGCGCGTTGTACGTTCCCTTCTGCTTCTGCTTCTGATTTGCTTCTGCTTCTGCTTCTGCTTCTGCTTCTGCTTCTGCTTCTGCTTCTGCTTCT